AAAGCAGGCATTAAAAAGAAAAACCCCAAATGCTCTCTTGTATCCATTTTAAGAGTAGGATTGGCACTTTCCACTATTACCTGAGTCCTGATCTATCACCCCAGGGAGAGCTTGCCAATCCTGCACTTTCCTGGGGTAGAAAGGCTGCAGTGGGGTTAAGGATAAGGCTCCTTGGGCCTACCTTCTCCCATGCCTTTACATTTACCTTTACATTTGCCGGAAGCTGATCCACCCTTGCTGCTTGACACAGTCGCTGCAGGGAAGAAACATCTGCACAGCTTATCAAAATAACCAAATTTAATTATGTATGTGCCACCAGAAACCCCACATGCAGGGAGGTTCAGGGACAGAAAGTTAGAATGAGCTAAGAGCTGAGAGTGCAGATCAGCACACAGGGCCTCGCGGGGAAGGTCATGGCAGGGTGATATGAAGAGCACACGTTCAGTAATCAGTAGCTGGCCCTGCCCTATAGATAGGCCGAATGAATGATTTCTGCTGATAACTCTTATTACAGGCAAGACCCCTATTTTAAATTCTTCTAGGTAGTTAAGGGGGGTGGGCAGAAGTTCCTCTTTAGCCCCAGGGTCTTGGTTGCCTGTAGCTCAAAATAACCCACACACCAGAGGCAGATCTTGGGGCGCACTTGTCCTGAACTCCCACAGCGGCTTCTCTTCTCTCCTTCGTCCTCCACCCCTTTGTCTTCCAAGATGAATCTTACCTCCTCACCTTCTAATGTTTTTGATTTGCTTTTCGAAGACAGCTGTCTAAAGAAGTTGAACATGAATGGGATAGAAGTTTAAAAACCACAATAAACAATGGAGGAAATGCAATATTCATGTTAGCAATCCCTCACAGGAAAACTTTAAATACTTTATTTCTAAATCGTTGTAATAACTTAGCTCTTTCTACTTTTGAATTTTTTTGTGTGTGTTGCTGAATTTTACACTTTAGGTAGGCAAGTGGGATTTTGAGTAAGTACTTAAAGAAAAAGGTCCTAGTTACATTGAGTAGTATTACTATGTTCCCAGCCGATAGTCCCTCCACTTGCATGCTTTTAAAATCCTATATTTATTGGATTTGTACTTAATAGCCAGCATTATAAGGATACCAAAGAAGTATAAGGCATGGCTCATGCCCACTAGAAGTTTCTAATATAGAGGAAAACGACACATATGCAAACAAAATATAAGAAATTATAGGAGACAGATACTCATAAAACAATTAAATACAATGGACAAGTGAAAGCAAACAAACAATGAAGTACTTAACTGAGTGCTACTGATTATACATGTTAGAAGGTGAAGGACAGTGAAGGTCAGGAGCTGAGAAAGGCAGTCCCTGTTCTAAAGAACATAACCTTCAACAAACCAACACAAAAATGAACTTTAGATATTTATTTGAAAAAAAACCTACCCTGTTTCTTCAATGTTAAGATGTTATCTTTTCCCATTTTAATACAATGGATGTCATAGTCATCTTGCACTGACTTGTACTAGGCGCTGCTGTAAGTGCTTTGTACGCGCGGACTTGTTTAGTGTGGATTATTCAATGGGTGGAAATATCTCACCATTTCCCCTCTGGGAAGGTGCTATGGAACCATTGGTACCAACGGGAACCCGATGGCTGTTCAGGATTCGGGAAGCATGGTGTGTGCAGAAAGAAATAGTGCTCAGAGACGAGACTTCATAAAAATGACATTGCCCACGTTTCCTATCTCCTCAGCCTAGACCAGTGGTCGGCAAACTGCGGCTCGAGAGCCACATGCGGCTCTTTGGCCCCTTGAGTGTGGCTCTTCCACAAAATACCGACTTCTGCGCATGGGCCACGAAGTTTCAATCGCACTGTACATGCGCGCCCGCACGTGGTATTTTGTGGAAGAGCCACACTCAAGGGGCCAAAGAGCCGCATGTGGCTCGCGAGCCGCAGTTTGCCGACCACTGGGCTAGACTGTTGGCCCTTAGTGTCCTGGTTTGTGAGGATCACCCATAGCCCCAACACCCTTGGGCTTCCTGTCACTTGACTGTTCAGTCAGAGGCCACAGAGGCTTCAAAAGAGCAAAGTTTCCATGCTGAGGGCGTGAGGTGACCCATTCAACGTTTACCCTCATCCAGCATCAGTTTTCTCAGCCCTGCAGTGGGTTTCACCTTGGCCAGGAAGGTGTTTCTGATTTATTTACAAACTCTCTCAACTACCAGCGTAAAGTCGAAATACATGACTATGTTGGGTTGGGCTCCTTGGAAACAGGCTCTGAGATGGAGACTGGGGGCAGGTTATTGGAGGTGGCTCTAGGACCACCACCTGTGGGGAAAAGGGGGGGAGGCGGAGAGAGGGGGGACAGGCTGGGCAGAGGTGGTCTGCGATGCAGTTGCAGCAAGGACTCGGCTGACCCCAGGGGGCGCTCTGGAGCTAAGATGCCCTTTAGGGGTGTCCTGTACTGAGACCAGGGGTGCTTGCCATTGCACCCTGGCACTCGTAGGATATGAATAGTGCCCAGGGAGGGGCTGTAACCTTAGAGGAGACGATGACTTTGACTGAGGGCAATTCCTGGGGGATGTTTCAATGTCAAGCTGTTGGCAGGCAACATCCCCAGCAGTTGGGGGAACAAGAGCTTGGGCCCATTAATTCTGAAGCAGTGTCTAGCCATTCCTGAAACATCTGGGTAGGTATTTCCTTTTTCGCAGTGCATGGTCACCCTAGTAAATGACATCATTTGCTTCCTTTGGGAAAGGCTTGGATGTAGATTGGTAGTGTATGTTTATGGTGATGCTGCAAGGTTTTTCCTCAGGGGGACCACCTGTCTTATTATTATTTTTTTAAATAAATATACTTTTATTGATTTCAGAAAGGGAGAGGGAGAGAGAGAGACAAACATCAATGATGAGAGAGAATCATTGATCGGTTGCCTCCTGCACGCTCCCCACTGGGGATTGAGCCCGCAACCCGGCCATGTACCCTGGCCAGGAATTGAGCCGTGACCTCCTGGTTCATAGGTTGGCGCTCAACCACTGAGCCGCACTGGCTGGGCCCAACCTGTCTTTTAATAAAGGAGCTGTGACAGTGAACTGGTGTGGTATGGAAACTGGGTGAAAAGAATGACTTTTCACTTTGATGGCCCCAGACAGGTTTCAGGCAGCAGAACTATAGTTTTAAAGATGAAGGGATATTTCAGAAGTCTGCCCAGGGCCACTTAGGACGGTACCGAATATCCCTGCAGGTCAAGACCTTTGAATACTCAGTAAACATGTCCCCCTTGTCCCTGCCAGTTAAATGCTGCCCCTTGGTCATTGCCATCCCAGGACCCAATTATCATGGAAATCAGGGAGCCATCTCTATGAAAGCATCTCCCCCACCATATCCGGCCACTACTGAGCTTTTCTGTTGCTCCCCTTACTAATGCATGTATTTTCCAATGCCCGAGTGTAGAGACTGTCATCTGGGCCTTTAGGGGCATGGATATTGGGGCTGGGTATATGGATTGCATGGGTCTACATGCTAACATAACTCCACAGTCCCCTCTCCAGAGCATTTCGGGTTTCTTTCTCTACATCATACCAGGGACATTCTGTCATCTCATTGAATACAGACAACCACCGAGTCAGAGTTTCATTTAACCAAGTAAGAAAGCCTCTGGAGTCACTTTCAGTGCTTGAGCTAACATGTAAAACCCAGACTTCCTGGTAAATGCACCCGCATCAATGCATTTAGCCCAATCATGTGCCCTTGGTTTTGTTTGGAACTTGACCAAGAGCCTTTCCGCCTTTCGCAGGTCCTGTCACCTTGGACACCGATGCTGATGTTTGAGGAGCTAATACAGCACCTCGATCTTGGTCTGCATTTGTAGTTCTCTCATTCACAGTGGGTCTACATGCAGGTGCAAGCATCTTACTTTTGTTTGGTCTTCTAATAGAGTTGTGCGATAGCAGTTACTTACGGAAATACACATCCTATCCTATATAATAAAAGCCTAATATGCAAATTGTCCCCTCAACCGGGAGTTCGACCACTTGCTACGATGTGTGCTGGCCACCAGGGGGCAGCGCAGAACATGGCAGCAACACGGCACTAGCAGGGGGCAGCAGTGGAGGTGCTGCTGGCCCCGATGGGACCCAACAAGAGCGGGACTGTGGCGGGATGGTGGAGCAGGTGAGTGGGCAGCGCCAGGCCAAGGCGGGTGCGATTGAGGCCCGATCGCCCCACAGACAGTGACCAGTGGTGGTGGCGGGAGGTGGGGCCACCGCCTGGCTCCTTGGCGCTGAGGGAGCTGTGCAGGGGCCCGATGACTCAGGTGGAGGGGTGGCGCGCAGGGGCCTTGGGGCCCAGGTGCTGCCCAGGGCCCAGAGGTCAGCTGGGACCTGCCCTTCCACACCAGACACTCATGCTTTGATCGCCGGCCAGGCCTAGGGACTGCACCCGTGCACGAATTTCGTGCACCAGGTCTCTAGTTAATTATAAACCACTTTCCTTTATTTTTCCTTTATTATACAATTAGGACATTATATTGATTTTTTTTTGAAATTTGCATAGGTAGGTAATGTTATTTATGAATTGCATTTCACGATAGTCAGGGGAGTATTTAAAACACTAGCTACAAAAGGGGATGATGGGCCTGATAGGGCTGAGAATGGCTCCCCCGCCTTTCAGGCCGCAATCATGTCTGTACAGGCACGTTCACGATGAACCAAAGTGGGTCTGGAGCACAGCCACCAAATGAAATCACTTGTTATCAATCTCCTGAAAGGTGGCTATGGTTAAGTAGAGAATTCAGTGTCCTATTCAGTTTACTTACAGAGCCACGCAGGGTGATATTAATAAGGAGACCTATCAGCAGCGGCAATGAAGAACTATCTAAGAGATGCCACAAGAGCAGGCTGTTTTGTGCTTGAAAAGGCCTTGGAGAGGCAATCTTTTGTGCATCCCTGAGGCGAGGCGAGGGGAGGGGAAGGCAGGGGTGTGCTTTCTTTGCTCCCTGGTCTGCAGGATCCGAATCCCAATTCCTTTCAACGTGTACTCTCTGGGGACGAAGCAGGGAGAAAAGAGTCCACATTAGGTTTGTGAATGAAGGTAGATGTTTGGTCTTGACGCAGGAACTCTAGCTCTGGGTTGCTGCTCAATGCCACTGGCCTGCATTGCTCTAGGGCAGCGGTTCTCAACCTGTGGGTCGCGACCCCTTTGGGGGTCGAACGACCCTTTCACAGGGGTCGCCTAAGACCATCGGAAAACACATATATAATTACATATTGTTTTTGTGATTAATCACTATGCTTTTATTATGTTCAATTTGTAACAATGAAATTGGGGGTCACCACAACATGAGGAACTGTGTTAAAGGGTCGCGGCCTTAGGAAGTTTGAGAACCACTGCTCTAGGGCCTTGGGGCGGGGGGCATACAGGGCACCTGGGAGCAGCACCCCACCCCCTGGTTACTCAACTCCCCCTCCCAGATCTCAACTCTCTCAGGGAAGCCTGCCCTCCCCGCCAGCCTGGTCTGGTTCCTTGGCCACAGATTCCTTCAGAAGCGTTTCTCACCTGTGGTTTCTGGATGTCAGTGTGGGATTGCTGTCATGAGCAGGGACTATGTGGGTTATGTGGGCCCCCTCCTACGACTGGCTCTCCTGCCTGCTTATGCTCCCCCCGTCATCCCAGTACCTGGTGCAAGGTAGGCACGGAGTAGACAGTTGGTGAAAATAAATGTTGCTCCAAATCCCAGCAGCACCAACACCTTCCATGACTGTGAATGTACCATTGCATTTGTAGCCCGTGCTTTTGACAGCTGAGCCTTCTTCTGCCGGTTGAAGAGCGTGGGGACTGGATTTTGCACAAATGGGCGAGTCGGGACAGGTAGAAACCCTCAAAAGCCCCATCCTTGCGGCCATTCAGGCCCCCCTTTCTTCCGCAGTCACCCGGGGCCACCCCCACCTTCCCTCAAACAAACCCAGAGGGAACTGGCGCTGGAGGGCGTGCGTCCTGCGGGGAGGCAGAGGGAGGACGAGGTGGAAGGGCCGAGCCCCGTCCCCCGTTCCTCACGGGGCCTGGCAGGCACCTGCTAAGGAATGACAGTGTGCCCAGGGCCTCCCCGCGGGCAACGAAGAGCATCACAGAGCATCGGAACCACGGCTCTGGGGGGGGGGGTCCCCCCGCGGAGCGCGGGGCAGCTCGGCTTCAGATCAGGGGAGAGGCTGGGGGAGAGGCTGGGGGAGAGGGAGGCTGGGGCCGCATCTCCAGGTAAAGCAGGCGGCGTGCGAATGGCAGCCTCTCTCGCCCCCTCGGGACGTGACCCCGGGCAGATGAGGAGCAGC